TATAAAATAATTAGACAGGGTTAAAGATACAAACAAATGTTTCTCCAAATAAAGTAAACGATATAAAATAATTAGACAGGGTTAAGGATACAAACAGAATGTTTCTCCAAATAAAGAAAACGATATAATTCTGGCACACGAAATATAAAGATTAGATAACGTAAGATGTAAATTAATCGAAATCTTTTGTCTCTGTGATATTCTAACTTTTTTGGCATCTTTGTATTTGGTTATTTTAAACAGTTCGTTTCCTCAGCATTTATTGGAACGTAACTCGACAAATTCAGTCCTTATTATTCGTACTAAAAACATTTGAGCAGACTTGGCCAACCACCTTGATCAGATCTGATGTCATAAACTCCATATAACTCGAAGTGGATACGTTGTAATGAACTTCAAACAGATTCTGTCTTGATTGTTTTTAGAATTTAGAAAGTTTCATGATGTTACTGAGATAGGAAGCTGGAAAAAATGGAATTACCTTTAAAACTAAATAATATATAATCACGATAACTTTAATATCCGATTCTTATGTGATCAATGAAACTTAAATTGCTAGTGGTCAGCTGCAACATTTTATGCTTCGTCCCCTCCCTTCCAATGGGTCAGTTGTAAGTTTACGGACTTACAACGCTAAAATTCGGGGCTCGGTTCCCAGTGTTGGGCAAAGTGTCGATAGCCAACTCTGTATCAAGTTTTATGATATTTATGAAATATTTAATCTCCGTTGATTTGTCTCAGTTACTTAGATTATCAGTATTTAGATTTTGTACAAAATAACTCAACCTTAATTCAAATACATATATTGTATTAAAACTAGTATCAAATAGCTCTAAATATACGGGTTTCAAATCCCGTGGGAAGAGCCTAGATCGTGTAGCTTTGTGCTTAACTACAAACATATGGCGCATGAGACATACGAAAACGAAATGTTGCCCCACGTAGGAAATGATCGTAACCATAACGATAACTGGCGATTTATGTGCAGACGACGTACTCTTTATTTATGAATGTATAAAGAAACAAATAGAGACGCCATTGTTAGTCATTCTGCGGAACTGGACTACATGGTTGTGATGCTTATATAGATTGGAGGTAATGGGTTATATTGAAGTATGCACACGTACGGAAGGCTTCAAATTACGTGTATGGCTTTAATAGCGTTCTCAAGCTTGTCACGCGCTCAGTGTATTTGCATTTTTTTATGAACCGTGAAACGTACAACCGGATAAGGTCGCTGATAATCATCAAAGTGTTTTTGCGTTTTGGTATTCGCAAGGTTCAGACGTCGTCGTCCGTAATTTAGACGAATGTCTGACACGTATATAAAGCGCCAACATCTGTCAGTGCGATGCCTGCTCGTCGACCAATAGCGGGCTCGAACTTTAGCTCTTCCGATATGCAGCCCGGCAAGCTAACCACTAGGTCATGTCTTGCCCCTGTTTGGATTTTTGAAATAAAAGATCTATAGACGACATCAGTTGTGTGATATTGAAAATATTAAACTATAGCCGAAAGAAATTTGAGTTAAAATTATACCAAATTTATTAACATAAGTCTACAATTTCATATGTTGCGCTTCGTAGACCAAGTGTAGCTCAATGGTTGGCGTTCCGGACTGTGGAGCGGCGGATCCAGCGTTCGTTTCTCATTACAGCAAAATAAAAATAAAAAAATCGCGCTTCACACTTTAGAGTCGTGAGTGCGTCATAAGAGCGTCTGTCAGATCTCTCTATTTCGTCAAACCAAAGTAGCCCAAGACTTGGCGGTTGGTGCTTTTGGATAGCTGCCTTTCTTCTACTCTAGTCCATCAATTCAAAATTAGGGACGGCTAAACGAAGATAGCCTTCATGTAGTTTACGCGAATATCTGGAAACAAACAAACAAGACACTTCTATTAAGTAATTGCAAACGTTTTCGTCAATTTACCCATTTTTTTTTCTCACAGTAAATTTTTTTATGTATTCACGAAACTAAAATATGTGATTCACCAAAATTCTGGAACATGCTAGTAATGAATCATGAAGTATTTGTCAACATTAATATGTGCTATCTATGAACATTAGGCCTACCAACGCTGACTTCTAGCTGATATACGTTGACGTGGCCTACATTATTAGCTGTTGTTTTGTTTTTCTTTTGGAGGGGGTTAATACTTTTCGAATGAGATTTTTTTTTTTCACATGCGGATCAAAAGAAAATTTTAAAACTTATTTTCATTGTATAGATTAGGAACTTTGTGAACAAAATGGAAAAGTAAAACAAAATAAGAATTATAAATGTTTGTTTGTTTGTTTGTTTTTGAATTTCGCGCAAAGCTACACGAGGGCTATCTGCACTAGCCGTCCCTAATTTAGCAGCGTAAGACTAGAGGGAAGGCAGCTAGTCATCACCACCCACCGCCAACGAATAGTGGGATTGGCCGTCACATTATAACGCCCCCACGGTTGAAAGGGCGAGCATGTTCGGATGCAAAGATTCGAAACCCGGCACCTCTCAAATTGCGAGTCGAGCACCCCTAACCACCCTGACCCATGCCGGGGCCAATTATAAACTGAAAGTTTAATAA